TAATCATTGTTTGACTGCATGAAGCACAAATTAATTTATTTTTAAAAAATCAATTCAGAACTTCAGGAATTTAATCCAAATTATATTAACAGGAGATTATATTGTGAACTGTATTTGTAATGAGTTGATTCAAAAGGCAATATAAAAACGAGGATGAGTGGGCATGGTATGGAAATGCTGACCTACTTTTGAAAAGACCAAATTTCCTACTTACAGCAAAATTACTGCCAATGAGTGTTACTTTATTTTTAAAACTGCAGCTCGAGGAATTTACTTTTACTACCTACCTGTGGCCAAAGAAACATATGGCTGCATTTCACTTTGGTTGACATTCCTGTTTCAGAGGCAGAAGCTTTTTGCAGGTTTTGGGGAAAAAAATGCGTTTTCCAAACTGGGTCAAATTCTGTCTTTTCTTGCTTTGTCTTTTCTCTCTCTGCCAGGCTCCACTGCAGGATCCTGCAAATTCCATTTTTTACTTTATGTGCAAATTCTGCTGATCACTTCCACCTCCTTAACACCCCTCTTGGGCGTCCCTGCCTTCCTTCCGTCTGTGCTGACACCACTATTTTTGACTGCATGTATTTCAAGTGTAGCCATGTCTTTTCTCTTGGTTTTGCCKTATGGATTCCTTAGCACAGACAGGGCACTGTGATGTTGCTGCCCGGCCCTTCAAACAGTGTCCTAAAATAACTGGAAGCTCAGTAACACCTGAGGATAATGATAAGAAAAATTATCCAGAATGCTCAACTAATTGTATATTGAGAAAGGATTAGGGAAGGGGCAGAACGCTTTGCATATTGAAAATATTTTAAAAGCATTTTTCAAATGAGTGTGTAAAACAACACACATGCAAAGGTCAGTTATTGAATTTCAGTCTATTTTGATGTATTTAGTGGTACTTACATTGACTAATGGGTGGGTGAATTTATCATGATACTGAAGTATTTGTACTTGAGGAAGACTATTTCTGTGCTAATACTCAGTTGTGTGTGTTGCAGCTCTGATACATTCCGTGCACAGGATATCATGAACTTCTCATGTGTTGTCATTGTCCTCATTGTAGATGGCATCACGAAAGTGTGTGCTTTTGTTGTCCGTTATGACCAAGAAGTAAAGACAAATACATTATTTTTAGGCTTTTTTCTAGGTTCAATACATATATATGTATGTGTATATATAGACATAGAAACATATTTTTCTAGTAAAGCATGTGGTATGTTCACAGTAAAATAATCTCTTGYTGTTGCTGCTGCTGTTGTTCTTTTGTATGTTCACAGCTGTAYCTGGGCTTTGAAAAGTAAATCTCTTGACAGAATCATTAAGCAGCTTTCCAGACCAAAACACATGTGTCAGTATAGAAGAATGACAATATTTTCAACAATGTAGGAATTCTAATTGCTATTCCCTAACTTGGTAAACTCCATATTCCAGAAATATGCTCTCTTTTTTTYCCCATTATTCATGTTCCAGTCAACTTTAAATAATTTATACTTTGAGTCCAGGTAGACTATTTCCAGGCAAAGATGCAATGCTCCTTTAAGCCTCATTTTCATTAGAAGTAAATAAATGCACTTATATGAACAAATATATATAATAAAATATTTTGTATAAATGTGTATATAAATGGATATGCAAAGATAGACATGTTTGTATGTATTCATTAGATACAAAGAGGCAAAAGCCTGACAGGATCATTTCTAAACTGGCAAACACAGTACACTGAGTAATCTTGTGGAATATGGGAGACATAATTTCTGGTTTCTAGCCTGAATTGGTAATGGGTCACTCGTCAATCACACACTGCAGTGTACTTGTGCAAGTGATTATCAGCTGTTTGGGCACAGGACACTCTCAGTGTCTCCCATTTAAACTCTAAACRGTGTAGGATTAGATACTCCCTGGTGTTGTCATCTGCTGCTTGTCAAATAAGCACTATTTTTATTTATCATTCAGACAAAGTGAAACACTCCCTGCAGAGAAGGGGTCATTGAGGGGCTTGTGTCTGCCTGTCTGGCCGTAAATCCCAAGCCTGAGGGAGGTGGCACATTTCCATAAGGATTCTTGCTTTCTGGATATTTGCGTATTCTGACCAAATTCGTCAATGAGTTTCCAGTTGGTGCAAATTCTGGAGGAGGTTCTGGRAGGCCAGTTGATGGCAGTCAAGGTTTGATGTTGAAAAAATTTAGGGTTGGGGCAAGAGGTTACAATTAGCAGCTCTTTGAGCTTTTTCAGCTTCACATGAGAGTTTTGCAGCTGAATCTTCCCACTGCTCTTTGGTGATGAAAGCTTGAATTGCTCCAGTTGGTGACCTTCCAAGTCACACAGTCTGAGGAAAGCTGGATGTGCTGATTCAGCAGAAAGCTCCAGCAGGAAACCAAAATAAGAAGCAAAGTAAATCACCCTGATTTGCATGAGGCAGTTCTGTCTACACATTTACGTTAAGATCTCCTGGCTGATTTCTGCTCATGCTCTATTTTTTTTTTTTAACTGTGGGGAAGCAAAGTTATCCTTTTGCCACCAAAGAGACAAGGAATCAGGTCCATACTAGTAATAGTTCTCTGCTAAGTTTTGCAGCAGGCATGGTGTAAGCAGGTTGCCATCCTGTTTCCTCGTTTCTGTGCCGTTTTCTGGCATGGAAGAGGAAAGCAGTGCTGGTTATTGGCTAATGTTAGGTGTTTTCTTTACTGGCTGGTGGGACCATGTCTGTCAGAGCAGGGCATAGACACATAAACCAAAAGCAAACCCTTTCAAAGTGTTTGTTTTGAATATTGGCTAATGAGCCTGATATCAAACTGCCGAACTGGATTCTCTCTCCAGGCTGTCTTACACCTCTTTCAAGCATTAATTATGCTGCCTGTGTTCCAGCTCTGGGTACAGACAAACAAGTTGTTAAAGATGCTGTGATACTATCTATCCTTGCAGCTGTAGCTGTCCATCTCTTCACTAGGACACTTCAATAATCCGTGGTGTTCTGATGGGTAGGCTCTTGCTCTCATGGAAGTCTTTGCAGCGCCTGGTTGCAAACTGATAAAACAAACACTGACCAGAACTTTACTGAGAGACAGGGACTGCCCTCCACCACCACGGTGGCAGTGAGCTCCAAGGGATGTGCACAGGAATGGCCATCCAAGTACTTAGATCTTCAGCTGGACAGCTTATCCAATTCTGCCCTCATCCCAATACAATAATTTCTAGAAGGTTTTTTTCTGCCTAGTTGGCAAGAACATCTGTAAATGAAAGAGTTTAATGTTTGTACTGCACTCTGCATATGTGAAGCAGGGTACAAGAATGATTTGCAGTTCATCCCTGACTTCCCCATTGCAATCTGGCAGTGAAATACTGAAGATATAAACCCTATCACAGCAGGTTCTTAGAATTCCATCTTTAAACATTTTTTGTTGTATTTAAAAGATGTGAAGGTTTTTAAATGCAGTATATTTTTTCTTCTTGCTAAATAGAGTCTTTTGAGAGTTGGCCAAGGAGAGGAGATCTAATTAAATTAATGTAATGATTCTGGGAGTCACTGAAGCTCTCAGTACTCCCGCACGTTTATCAATATACTTTTATGAGAGACAAATCATTTTAGCATTTGAGATSAGGTGAAGATTAATTTTTGTGTGGCGCAGAGAAGCCCTCAGATAACTGATCTGCAYAACCCTTGCACAGGTGACCTTTCTTTATGAAGAGATCTTTCTGAAACAAATATTCTCAATCAAATGCCAGTCCTTGTGCTCCCTCATGTACTTATAAAAATAGGGATGTGCCTACTCAGAGCATTGTCTGGCATCTGTCTGGCCCAAGCTGAGGAGGGAGAAGTGCAGGGCACCCATGGCAGTTTTGTACAGCACCCAGAACAATAAACCTTGCTCCACACTTTTATTCCTATAGTCCATCATGGCTATGCCTTTCTGCAAAGCTGCTCCTATCATTGTGCACGTTCTGGTTGCCTCTTACTGAGGTGGATTTCTCCTGGTCCAGAGAGACTTGCAGTGCAGTTTGGTGTGTGGCATGTATAGAAACTCACTTGCTGCAGAACTGCTGAGTGCAGTTTTGCAAGGGTTTTTCATATATGGTTATATATGATAAATGCAGCCCCCTCCACACTAAAAATATGCAGCTATTTAGAATTGGCTGAACCTTGGAGTGGGTGACAAATCTGAGGGCAGGAAGCTTCCAAAAGTGTCTTCAATTCAGTGATGGCAACTTCAGTACATTCATTTTGTGGTAGAATACACAGGTGTCTGAATGGTTTGTAATCAATACGAGTTTGCCAGAGGTTTCACCCCTCTTTAACAAATTCATAGAGTACARGCCCCTTCCTTGACAGTAACAAGCAAAGCACAGCAAGATGAGTTGCCTCTGGAGACCATCTAGCCCAACTTSCCACTCAGAGAAGTGGGAGCCGAGTCATAATTTTATGTTAGGTATGCTCAGACTTTACACACTCAAGTGTCTGCACCTTGAAGGCAAACAGAAGATGTAAGCCCTGTCTACCTTTGCTATGAATAATTCCCACCAGTTTCCAACGAATTAACCAAAAGTGCTTCTTGCTCCTTTTGGTGCCAAACTTGACCGTTTGAGCAACTGGACAAGAAGCAGTGCAAAAATTTTCTGTCTCATCATTGCTGCCATCAACAATTAGTGAAAAAAATCCATAATGTTGCAAATGTGTTATGTTAAGAAAGGCAAGATGTATTCATTTGGTTATCCAAGAAAATGTCCAGGAATTCCTTGTCCAGGAGACAGAAAAGGTGTGAACAAGAAGCATCTTGAACTCTTGCAGCTTCTGTTGGCTGAGGAATTGTTGACATTCACTGGTACAACAAAGAAGTTTTTACACTTCTTGGGTTTTGGGGGAGGGTTTATTGTATCTGTGGAGAAAAGTGAGATAGTTTTGCCCAAACTGGGAGGAGTAGAAAATGTAGGCAACCCTGTTTATTGACAAATTCCAAGAGTTGTATGTACAACTATTCTCCCTTTTTTTTTTTTTTCACATTTAGTGGGGCTACATCCATTGTCTACAGATGCAGGCAGAAAGGGACCCAGAAACCTTACGCCGTCAAAATGTTGAAGAAGACAGTAAGTCATTTTTGTTTCGTTTTGCTTTGCTTTGCTTTGCTTTGCTTTGGAATATGTTTGAGATTTTCTCTGGGCTGGGTTGTTTTTAATTTTTTTTTGGTGAAGTTTCTTCATATGGGGAAAACCTGCTAGACTTACCATCCTGCTAAGCTTGTATTTTCTGTGAGTGGGCTTTGTCTCCTCATCATTAAAGCAGCTGTTAAAGGTAACAGTACTGTGCTGGGAATGCCTGTACCTTCATCTGGTGTTGTCTGYATACACTTGGATTTGGCAAAAACCTTTAACTTCTCTTTCTTTCATTGAAAAAATCACATTTTGCATTATTTAAATGTTCAGTGTTTTGCTTTGATTTAACACATTGTTTTGCTCAAAAAAGCCGTAGTACAATTAATCTTTTTTACATAAACTGATTAAAACACCAACTCAAACCCAAGCAAAATTAAATATTTGTTCAGGGTTTGTTTTTTTTTTTTTTTTACCGAATTACGAAATTGCTAGAGAGCCAGTTGAGATGATAATTTATTTTTAGAGCTCCATGTATGTCACACTTCTACTACAGCTCTTTTGGAGAGTTCTACAGAATAGATAGTGGAAAGCAAGAGAGACTAAGACAAGAAAGGCAAGTAATGAACTGAGAGACTTCATGCAGAAAGGCTGAGTGGGACATGGGGTAGAGCAGTTCATATTCCTAGGAYGGAAAGAGAATTCTGAGAGAAAGCAAGCCAGCTGTGAGGCGTGGACATGTTATTTGTTAATGAATGGTTTTGGTTCAGTTTATCCCAGAATTAGATCATTCATCATTCCATAGTGTTCAGGAACATTCACATGTAGAAACATAAAGATGGGTGAGTAGGTGTGGACGTGTCTAAATGGTGACTTCACYGGTGGTCTCGGTGCAAGACGTAASGAGTGGGCTTCACATGAATAAAATGCTGGCATTATTTTTTCATCTTTGAATATAAACCAAGGTTTAAACTGGCAGAAAGATTGGGTTGTGTGTGCTGCTTTTGAATTTGCATTTGGTGCACTRGAAGAAGCAGAGTTTGTGCATTGCTGTAGCCTATGGTCTGCCTTCCCTGTGGAACAGCAGAGAATTTTTGAGGTTTCATCAATTTCATTATGCCAGTTATTCCCATAATGTTTCAGGAATATACTCTCCTATAATTCTCATTCTGAAATGCACTAGGAAGAATTGTTTTATTTAAAAATATTTCTCTGCCTTTTGAATTTTTGCCTTCATGGAAATTATTTTTGCATTCATTAATTGCCAACACCTTAGACTTCGGTAGACTTACAGAAGCATAGATTTTTTTTTTTTTTTTTTTTTTTTTTTTTTTTTTGTGTCTAGGAAAAATGGCAAAGAAAAAGACTACAGTTATGTCAGTTGTTTTCACATCAGCAATAGCTTGGCTTAATACAGCCCTGGTTATGTTAGCAGTGTGGTTAAGCAGTTTACAGAGCTGAGTTTTTCCCAGTGTAATTGATGCACTTTGGGATGTTTTGCTATGAGAACAAATAATTCTCTTACACAACTGAGCTTTTCTGTGTAAACGAGAACATGGGAGACAATGCTGTAAGGATGTGCCACTGCTTGTGTCTGTTCAATCTGGAGATGCAATTATTGTCACAGGGACAGAACTGCTCCTACAGCAGGTGGTCTGATCTTTGCTCAGCGTATCTCAGCATAAAAATAACCATGTGTGGGCCAAGTCATGAACTAAATGTTGATGGCTTAAATTTCCTGTTAGCTTTTTGAAAACAATTAGGAAATAAAAGGTTGGCAGTTCAATTGTGGAGGGAAAGGGATAGGAGGAAAAGAAGAAGAGCCTGTGATGGTTTTTGATAGAGTTCTGTTTCTTCAATTCCCTTCTTAAATGTACATAAGGGAGCTCTGAAGGGCACATTAAGTTAGAAGACAAAGGCAGATGACAAAAAAAGCAAATATTCTTGATTTTTCCATTCAAAGTGACTGATTTTCTGCACTAAACCAGACTGACTTTCTGAGGAGGMGGTTTGTAAAAACAGGGTGAGGGACAGTGTGGTCCAGATTGTTCTGGAAGTGATAACAAGAGATGTGTGATTGGGAGGCTGGTGGCTGATGGGCAGCTCCAGATTTGTGAGTGACGATCACTGCAGTGCTGTAATTTGGAGTAAAGCATTAGAAATGATTGCTTTTGTACCATGGGAACAGCTCAGGTAGGAACATATGACCCCTTAGGATTGAAGACATGTGCTAGGAACAGACTACAATAATCCTAAAATACCTATCAGTTCTCTTTTCATTTAAACAGAAGGAGTAATTTTTCATTTTGCTGGATTAATGCATTTTCATTTAAGGGCAAATATAATTTTGGGCAAGACCTATCATCCTGTTCTGAAAATACATGCTTGTGCAGGGATTTGAGTTCCTAGGAGGTTTTGTAATTAATATTTTTTTTTTTATATCTTGCTTAGTAAAATAGCAGTACGTTATTTGCTAATTTCTGGGGAGTTGTTCTTTGTCTTTTGTTTTTTTTATTGCTAGTTAAACCATTCAAGAGTAACAGAAGAAAACATATTTATGTAAATCTTTTTGTTTAACTAAAATAAAACAGTGTTCATAATATTGTATTTAATTTGAGATATCTAATAATTTTTAACTATTAATACAAATTTTAGTACAATTCCAAAAGGAAGGCAAAAAAAGATTTTTTTTGTTGGTTCAAAATCATTGAAGCAGAATGCTTCCATTCCCTGTTGGTATTAGTTTTGCCAAATTCAGCCCAAGTTTAAGAATAGTTTTGAATCCTTTAATTACACTTACGGTGAATAAAATTTAATCCAAAGAACACCTCTAGTTATTACACATAAAGTGTCTTAATGTCAAAGCTATGAATCTTAGAGGCAAGTTAGAACTTTGCCTTCTAGAACAGCTAACGATAACTGTTAGAAGGGTTAAAGAGGTCCAAAGAAATATTGATTTTTATATTAGTCAGAGAAATATTCTCTAACATTGTATAAGAAATAAAGGTTGTACTTATTCTTAAGAGATACAAAATAACATGTTTAAGTAACAACATCTATGGGTTAGGTGAGTTAGAATGAGTTAGAATGTGAAATTATCGCCTGTGATTTCATCATCCAACCTATATGCTTAGATCCTGAGCATAATTGAAATGTGGCATTTCATTGCATACTCATTATTTGATTTTTGCGGAGTCTAGCAGGTCTCTTAAATTCCACATAGGTAGTAAATGTAAAGATGTGATTCATGTAATTTCTTTGTGGGGAGACCTATTTAATGAAACAAGAAAGAAGCAAAAGCAGATCATACAGCACTTCATGAAAAGTCATCAAATGAGCAGAGTACGGTGAAGAACTTGTACACTTGCAAATATGAGATTGTTTTTCTTTTCACTCAGTGTTTTACCTCTCCTTGATGACTCAGTGTTTCAGAAAAGTGAATTATCGTCAGGATACACTTTACAGAAATTATTCTTACTCTTAAGCTGAGACCTAAAAATTATGTGATATTTACAACCAGTCATTCTGAAATAGTTATTGCTGCAAACAACATATAGCATGTGGATCATATTGGAAGAATGCAGTTTTCTAAGAGAGAAAACATATATATATATGTGCTATTTTTTATATGAAGCCTCTCATCTGCAGAGCTTTTCCATCTTTTGGTGTGTTTTGAGGAAGCTAGGCAGCCTGCATATTATCTCAGAATCTGGGTAGGTGAATGCCTTCCAAGAAATTAGATCCACCTCCGCCTTAAATTTCCTACCTGAGTCTGGACAAGCTGCTTTAAAAATAGTGGATGGAACAGATGGCCTCTGTTACATGATTTCCAAACTAAGAAACCAAGTGCCTGCCTACATTATGGGTCTACCAAGCGCTAACTACYGCAACTGAAGTAATTTTGGAGCTGTCGTTTCAATGGCAGCTGAAAGGACAATAGGATGCTAGGCTGGGTTCTCTGGAGCCTGGATCCTGACATATTCCCAGTAATTCTTTTGGTTTCAAAGTTTTCATCCATGAAAATGTGATAATATTTATTGGATTTGCTTCTTAGCAATGCTTTGAAGGATATCCTGGTTAATACTTCTAGGTTTTAATTGATAGGTACTGTCCTCTAAGAGCAAATAAATACTATGAAATATTAGACCTTGTCTGTCTCAGGCAATGAGGCTTGCAAGTAGAGAGATTGTTTAGGAGAATTTTCGTTTTGATTTCCTACTTTTTGCATGTGTGGGCATTCTCCTTCACACAGTTTGTGATGCTTAAATAATGGTTCTTCAGAGCTTTTATCAAAATCAGTATTCATGAACCAGCATTCTTCTTGCAGATTTGGTATTCAAAAGCAGATAAATGTTCAGGCCCATTGATTTTTTCTCAGATCAGAAACAGAGCAAAGCTTACAAGCAATACATACTTTGGGAATAAGTGGGCTGAGATCAATCTGATTGTACTAATAAGTTAGGGAATTTGAGGACAACAATTGCAATGTTGTCTGTGGATCAGCAAGGAATGTGAGCAAATGTGAAGGTGGCAGGCTTCCCTAGAGTATAATTGGAGTTGGATATCTAGAGCAAGGGTCTGAAGAAGATTATAATTGTCTGTAAGGCATATCTAAAAAGTCTCAATTGCATTCATATTTACATATATGTTTACAGAAACACACACACACATGTATATATATATATTTATCTTTATATATATTCACATCGGGAAGTAGGGACTGGCAACTCAGGAAGAGCATAAGGTTATCCCTGGTCACGTAGAGAGAAAATTAGAAAGGCAAAAGCTCGGTCATCTGGTCACTGCTGTGAAAGGTAATGGAAAGTGTTTTTATAAATACGTCAACAGCAAAAACAAGGCCAATGGAAATCTCCAGCCTTTATTGGATGCAGAGGTAAGCACTGGAACGAAGGATGAGGAAAAGGCTGAAGTACTCAATTCCTTCTTTGCCTCACTCCTCAAGAGTAAGGCAGAAATGGACAGGAGCAGAACAGGCC